CCCCCGAAAGAAAGAAAACTCAGAAACCAGGTTCTACCAATCAGCCTCAAATTTTCATAAAAAAATGAAAATGACAACAAAAAGCGCAGTTCATTGCAAAAATAGCAGGAAAAGAATACTGCCAACAAAATTAGCATTATTCAAAACTTACCACATTATCTCGGTTCATTTCCCTCCTCTCACCAGCTCCCCCACCTCCCAACCCAGTGCCTTTTCCAGCAGTTGGTCTATGTAAAAAGTTTCAAGAATCCAGATTCTGAGACCAACGTAGTACTCCATTTAATGGTCTAGAAAGGCAGATTCTTTAACAGATAACTCAGTACAATACGATAACATAGTGCTATCGATCACAGATATACTGGAGTATCTTTCAAATGAGGACATTTTCTTTGTTTTTTGATCAGAAACCCTTGTAAGGAGAGCCCTCAAATCAGGTTTTTAAATGTGCATTGGCATCTGTGCCCGAAACCTCCGTCGCTCCGTCCCTGGGCTCGGGGATGACACGAGGTAGGGTTCAAGAACTGACAAGACAGGCAGACCAGCCTCCCGCCACCCAGGGGAGCAGCAGCTGCTGGCGGGTTCCCCCGCCCCCACCTGCAGGGACTGGAGGGCGCCGCCCTTACCTTGGGAATGCACGACGTGGGCTCGGACAGGCGAGGGTAGGTGTAGGAGTTGTACGAGTGTCCTTGGGGGTGGGTCTTAAATGCGCTTGCCCCAAAGGGCATCAGGGGCTCCTGCAGCCCCGAGCCCGACTTGGACCTCTGCCGCATGGCGGGCTGCGGGCTGGTCCGCTGCAGGTAGGACGACTTGGGCCTCCGCTCGTCGTCCTCCAGGCTGGAGCCCCAGTCGCTTTCGCTGTAGGCCAGGCTGGGCCCCGCCGGGGTCGACGGGGCGAAGGGGAACGGGTCTCGGTAGTCCAGCGGCGAGCAGCTGGAGGCCCGCGGGTGGTCCCACTGGAGGTCATGGTACTCGCTGGGCTGGCTCAGGGCGTCCAAGGGCGCGTGGTACTCGCCCGGGAATCTGGAGAGGGTGCATTTCCAAGGCTTCCTCTCCAGATAGTAGGCCTCCCCGGGCTTCAGTTTCACCACGTGCCCATTTTGCTTGGTGGCGGGGCTGCCTTGAAAGTAGGGCTCCCAGCTGTCCGCGGAGAGCCCCTTGTCCCGGGCCTTGTCGCCGGCGGGGCCGTCGGCGGCGCTGTCCGACTCGCTGGAGTACTGCGAGAAGGAGAGGAAGCCGTTTTCCTGCGCGCGGCGCTGGCGCAGGCCGGCCGGCCCGGGCCCAGGCCCCGGGGTGGGCGGGCTCTCTTTCCGCAGGGAGTTGGAGCGGGTCACCGAGATGTTGTCGAAATCCTCCAGCAGGCCGTTGATGGAGGTTTCCTTGCAGGGTTTGTTTCCTCGAACGATGGTCTGAGAAGGTGAAAGGGAATGACGTTTAAAGAGAGCATTTCAGACTTGGAAATGGATGGAGGGATTCCATTCCCATCCCGCTCCATTTCAACCACAAAAGAAAAAAAATGACCCCCAGGGAATGTTTCCTAATAAAAAAAAACACTTTGGGGGCCGGGGATACATTTCAATGACACAAGAAATAAAACAGGCAATGATATTTCAAATGGAAAGACGTCCGTCACCCATCTCAGTAGAAAGAGTGAAATGCCATTGATATAGTTAGCTAATTGTGCCAACCTAGCTGATAAACACATGTGGGGTTAATTGAAGGGCAGAGGGATAAATGGCTCGGTGAGCCTGGCCTTTTGAGTTCTCGGGTCTCTTGCTTTGTGATGGTGGGACCAGGGTGCAGCTGCCTTAGCAGTTCCCTGCTTTATCTGGCAAGGGCCACTTCCTGCAAGACATCCCCAAGGAACGTGCCCAGGGACCTACCCTGATGCAGCCCTGGGTGCTGGAGCAGCCGTGTTGGGACCCCTGCCAGCACTGAGATGCTTACACGCTCACTGATTTTGCTTTCCTCCTGCAGTCGGCATCATAGTGTGTTTTGTGAGGTGGAGGAGGACTTTGTGCATTGGTGTCAGACACATGGGTTAAGGTTAGACTTGTGGGTTTGGGCAGCACTGGGTTGGGATGTTTTCTTGATGTGTACAAACCCTTTACATAAAACTCTCTTCTACATGAGTTTCTGTGGATTTGTTTCTCTAAAGTACCCAGACTAACACAGCCATAAAAGACTGTCAACATTATAATGGTATTATTTGCCATTTGATGGACAATTCCTCTCCACCTGTTCTTTCACTTAAATAATAAGCCCTACGTGTTTTTGATTGTCATTTTAACAGACCCGCACTACTTGGTTAGAAATAGCACCATTGATTATTCTTTTAGATTTCCTCATTGGATGTTTACACAACCAGAAAAAGCAAGTCACCTGAATCTGGTCACCATCTAACCAGAGACTAGTTCATGTTATTTCATCCTTTATGAAAGCTATATGAACACTGAGGCTTACCAGATTTCATAGAAAACGGTGTTACTTTCTGAAACGGTGAGCATGGAATGGAATAAAGATTCGGTGTGTGACTTATTTTGTGATCAAATGTGGTATTTCCTTAAGTATGTGAGGGGGCTTCACAGCATTCGTGGGAACATGAAATTAAAAGACACTGGAACTTTCCCACCAACGTTTCAAGCCCCCTCGGATCACTATAATGGCCACAATTTTGTGCCTCCTCCTTTTTGACTCTCGGATAGTGTGGCAATGACCTGGTTGTACCTGGATCTAGATGACACATTGCCAAGCCCAAATGTTCCCTTGAATGAGTCAACCTAAATAGCTCCAGGATACCAGGAACAGAACAACATCACAAACCACTTCCAAAGCTCCATTAGTTGCAGCTGTCAACGACAAGGTTTGCAGCAAAATAGAATGGGGGTGGATAAGAGAAGAACAAAGAACAAAGTATTGTGACTTCAGACTTTAACAGAAAAATACTTCAAAGGCAAGTAGCAAGGAATTAAAAAACTACCTTGGTAAAAGAAAGGGTTTTAAACTAGAGGAAAAAGTTAAAATTGCCCTGGTGCTTTCTAAACTCTCCATGGAGAAAGAGGTTTTATTATTATTTCAGCCCCAAGACACTGCTGGGCTAATACTCTTGGCTTATATCAAAACCCAAAGCAAACCCGCTGCCTTCAAATCAATGCTGAATCATATTAAACAACAACAGCAAACCCAAACTCACTGCTATTGGGTTGATTCTCAATCAAAGCGACCTTATAGGAGAGAGTAGAACTGGCCCGGGGGGTTCTGACATTATAAATCTGTACTGGAGCAGAAAGCCCCAGCTTTCTCCCAGCAGGATTCAAACTGCTGATCTTTGGGTTAGCAGTCCCCTAGTAACCCACCACAACACCAGAGCTAACATGTGGCTGACTCGATATAGGGTCTCCGAGACTAAATCTTGATGGGATCAGCCTCATCTTGCTCCCTTGGAGCAGTAGATTGTTTTGAACCACCAACCTGGTGTTTAGCCATCCAATGCTTCTCCCACAGTGACACCAGCGTTCCTTATAACAGGTGCTATTAAATAAACCTTTCATTTGAGAATAGTTTTAGATTTAGAGAGAAATCTTGAGGACAGTACAGAGTTCGACTCCCCTCTGGCAGTGCCCCCTACTGTGACCATTTTACTGCACTGTCCAGTGCTGTCCAGTGCCCCCTACTGTGACCATTTACTGTGCAGTTGCTGTCCAGTCCTCGCCATCCCTGACGCACAATAGAACACAATGCTGCTGAATCCTGTGCCAACCCCAGGAGCCATTACGGATCGGCTCTGTGTAAATATTAGAAATAGATGACCAGAGCCTTCTTCCACATTACCTTGGTACATTATTACATTACTACGAATTAAACACCATACTGTATTCAGATGCCATTGATTATATACATATATAATCAATATATAACAACATATATATATGGTTTTTTTTCTTTTATCTCGAATGTCCTCCATTGATTATATATATATATATATGGTTTTTTTTCTTTTATCTCGAATGTCCTCTTTCTGTTCCTGGATCCCATTCAGGAAACTACATTACATTTGGCTGTCATGCCATCTGAGCTTTCTCTGGTTTGTGACCATCTGTCAGACAGTCCTTATTTTTGATGACGCTTCATATTTTGAGGATGGAGAATGTCCTTCAATTTGAGTTTGTCTGATGTTTTTCTTATTAGACTGACCCTATATCCCAAACCACTGCCGTCGAGTTGTGCTCACAGCAACTCTATGTGAGACAGGGTACAATTGCTCCTTACGGTTTCTGAGACTTTGCCTCTTTACAGGGCAGGCAGCCTCATCTTTCTCCTGCAGAGTGGCTGGTGGATTTAAACCACCGACCTTGCCCACTGCACCACCAGGGCTCCTTAGAGTTTGACTTTTCCTGATCTTAACAATCTGGCTTCTTTCACTCAGCAAAGTGCATTTAAGGTTTATCCCCTTTGTTGACTGCTGGCCCATCTGTTTTTATTCATTGGCGTACTGGGCAGCATTCTGCCATGTGGATTTATCATAGCTTCTTTATGTATTCGTCCTTTGAAGATGGTATCTTAGTTGCTTCCAGGTTCTGGCAGTTATTAATAAAAGAATAAACATTTTTGTGCAACCTTTTGTATGGACATAGTTTTCAAGTCATGTGGGTAAATTCTGAGTGCAATTGCTGGGTCATATGTTTAACTTTATTTAAAACTGCCAAGCTATCTTTAACGTGTCCTGTTCGTAAGACCAGCATGCGGTCTCGAGTGTTTTAGTACTATCAAGTTGTTATAAACTTTAAAATTCTTACACTCAGCTTTTATCCTCTTTGTGGACTTGTGGCAAACAACTCTGTCCACAGACCACACACTGCTTTTAATCACTTATTTAAGATGCGAACCAATGGGAAGAGCAGAGCTGAATGGTTTCCTGGAAGACTCTTGAGTACATTCAAAAGAGACTGTTAGCCAATCTAATGACACACCCTCAGCCACTGTGAACAACCCCTTGGAGTTTTAAAAGTTTAATACCCATTTATCCTCAATGGCAGAGTCTACTCCGTATGTGCTTAAAATGGGCTCCTATTGCAGGCAAACAGAACATACATTCTCCCTGGCAAGGCAGAACCCTTCTTTAGAACACTTTATTGCCAGGCTGTGGGTGATTACAAGAGTGAGAGTTGGACATGATACTAAATACCAAGCTAGGACTAGTTGGATTATGTGTCAGATCAGGGCCTTCTGATAGCCTGGGGCGAGGTGGTCATGACCAGGGAACATATAAAAATAACAGTGAAGTAGCCCAGAGGTTGACTGCCTAGTCTGGACAGGAAGCATAGATAGGCAGCTGGTGATGGAAAAAGAACAGACCAGATTTGTAATCAACCTGATTGAATTCTGGTAATGACATTTACTAGCTAGATCACCAACTTCTCTGGCTTTGAATTTCCTTATCTGCACAATGAGGACTATCTGTACTAGGTACATTTTAGGTTTCTGGTTGCTAGATCTACAGACTTCTTATTAAGTGCTGTCTATAAGTCAATTTTAGACTCAAAGCAACCCCATGTGACAGATAGAACTATCCCATAGGGCTTTCTAGGCTGCAATCTTTGTGGAAGCAAATCTCTGCTTTTTCTCCTGCAGATCCACTGGTCAGGTTTGAGGACTGACCTCCTGGCTTGTAGGGAGCATTTAACCACTGTGTGTTCAGAGCTCTGGTATCTGTAGACTGTCCCATTACTCATATGTTACAGGACAATGATTCGTTTCCTTTCTCCCCTTGCTTGGCCCTTTGGATACATGGACGGACGGACGGGTGGATGGATGGATAGATAGATAGATAGATGATAGATAGATAGATAGATAGATGATAGATAGATAGATAGATAGATAGATAGATAGATAGATAACCAGTTGCCATCAAGTAGATTTCGAATTCTGGTGACCCCGTGTGTCAGAGTAAAACTTTCTCCATGGTGTTTTCAGTGAGGGATGTTTAGAATTGCTTTAGAGCTTAAATTCTGAGCATGAGGCTCACAGAAAGCCAAGGATGACAGCAAAGGCCCCAAATCATTTTCAGAGTCTGCATATGGATTAAGCTTCCACTGAATTCCTTCTGATCAGTAACTAGGGATGTGAGCAGTCTTGCCTTTGGGCAGAGGGTTTGGAAAGTATCCAGCATCTTATAGTTCATTAGGATATAAGGTTGAAAACAAAGATAATAAGTATTATACTTTTTAACCCCATTGCTTTGGCAACTGATCATCTTTTATTCTTCTAAATATTATTATGCTACGGCAATATTAACATATTATTCCATATTGACAACTCATTCCCAATGGGATTATAGCCACAGGAATATGATTCATAACATATTTTTGGAAGGCATAATTCAATTCATAATATCACGACCAGGGCTCTC